CGTCGAGAGCAGCGCGTTGGAGTAGAGCTTTGAGAGGGGGAGGTCCCAGACGAAGTTTCTGGCGGCACGGTCAGGTCAGCACGGGTAGGTAGGGTATTTGAGGAGCAGACGTACAACGCGAGGTGCGGGAAGACCATGAAGAAGATGATGTCCAGCACGCTGAAGATCGAGCTGCATTTTCGAGTCAGCATACGTATCGCAGCGCGGGACACCGAAGAAGACGGAAGACGCACGTTACGAGGCCGGTTTGGATCGTCGCTAGCAAGGCGGTCAGTATGCACCGCAAGACGCAAGGGAGGGGCACGCGATAGAGAAAGATGTGGGTGGGGTAGGGTGGAGTGGAGTGTGGGGAGGGAGGAGAAAAGGGAAAAGAGGCTGGCTCACTCCGAATAATCTTATCGATCACACCGTCCGTCGCGACGAAGCCGGTTTTGCGGTGGGCCTGTGTGTGCATCAGTAAACAGCAACAGCAAGTGCGCCGAGATGAGAGAAGATCAGGGAGGGGAGGGTGAATCGACCGTTCGTTGTCCTGCATGTCTTCGGAAGAGCAGAGCAGATTGGCTTGGTCTGACGCACGACACTCGTGGCTCCCACCGGGAACGAACGCGCGCTCCTGCTCCTCGAAGGGAAGCTAGCTCGCCCGCTCTGCCACCGCCAGTGACTGCATGTCGACCCGGATCGGTACGCTCACACCCGCGTGCGTGTAGTCGGCGTGCCCCTCCCCCCTCCCCGCGCCCTCCTCCAACCACGAAGCGGCCCGTTCTTCCGTCCACGAAGCTGGTCCCCACCCAGGCCCCTCTCTTCACTCGTTCCATGACACCCCGGCCCTCCTCGCTCGTTCCTCCACGACTGCATACTCGAATGTTTTCTTTCCTCTCGCTCCACTCCTCCACGAAGCACCCCGTCCGCCCATCTCTGCGCGCTCGCTCCTCCGGGTCCTCCACACACCTAAACCAAAACCCAAACAAACCAAGTACTCACCAACGTCCACACAAGCCCCACCGTGATCCCCACGTCCGCCGCAGACGACGCCGAGAACCACAGCAGCGCGGGCGCGTGCAGCTCGGGCTTGCGCGCGAATTGCTTGATCAGCGCGAGTTTGGTCGCGGTCCAGAGGCCGCCGCCTGGGAAGAAGAAGAAAAAAAGGGGTTAGTGTTGGGAAGTATGGGTGTGTGTGGACAGAAGATAGATAGATGGTAGATGGGGGGGCGGTGGGCGGTGGGCGGCAGAGGATGGGGGAAGGAAGAAGGGTTCGCCTCGACGCGACGCGCACGACAACCCGTGCCCGCCCCCAGGCGGAGTCGTCTCGGCTCGGCGTATCCCACCGCACCCCAGGTTCGCGAGTCCCTTTCGTTCGCTCGTCACGACAACACGGCGAGCATCTCCGTGTCCCTCCGCACGCGAAGCTTGGCGCGCCCGCTCCGTTCACGCCGCATCGCCGAAGGGGGCGCGGGCAGTCCCTGCGTCAGCGCCAGCGCCAGGGCACATACACTCGGTCGCGGCACGGCGCATTCCGCCCCCATACATGAAATCAAGGGAGGTCCGCCCGCAGCCCAGCCTCAGTGGCGCACACGAAGCGACACGTTTCACGACACGACACACGGCACCGCACGCACACCGCACGAACGACACCACTCGCCACCCTCCCTCTCCGCACGTCCGCCGGGCTGCTCAGACCGCTGGCTGAACGACGCTCAGTCTTTGCGCGACACCCGGGAAGTCGAGGTGCCACCCGAAACTCGCTCCCAGAAAAGTTAAAACACCTCTCCATGTGGATTGGGATTTGGAGGCGGCAGACGCGATGCACACACACGCCGCCGCGCACAAAAGACGACAGCCCACCTGCCCAAATCCCAAATCCCGAATCCCAAATCTCAAATCCCCAAAATCGATACATCACCCCACTGCCCCAAAAACCGATACACCACGCCGAGACCCGAGTGGAAGGGCTGAGTCGCGAGTACCGGGTACGACAGCACGGCGGGTAGAGAGTAGATACTCGCTTCTCGTGCCGCGAGCGCGGACGGCACGCCGTCTTGGCTCGACACGACACCCGGTTCACCCCACTCCACACCGCGTCGCCGTCGAAGGGGAGCCGGGCGCGACTGGACGTGGGGCATTCGTTCCCCGTCGTCCGCCGTACTGCGGCCCGCGCCCGTATAGTATACATACACTCGTCGTACACGGGCAAGGACGCAAGCTCATCCATCCCCGTCATCGCGCGTGTTCTGTCCGCAAAAGTCCATCGCGGCACCGGGGTCCGGCACGCCCACGAAACCGCGTCCGCGTCCTCCCGCATTGGCCGCCCCGGACACACTCGACGACACACGACACGGCGCGACATGCCAGTCCGGTCTCGAATAAAGGCCCTCGACACGCGGTCTGCGTAACGAGCCCACCGTACCGCACGCGGTGCGCGCGAGCGCGTGCCCGCATGAACGACTTATTCCACGACACCGCCCACCGTCCACCACCCACCGCACGACACCGCACGGCACTGCACACGCCCACTGCACACCGCCCACCGCACGACACCGCACGGCACTGCACACGCCCACCGCACGGCACCGCCCACCCGACCCTCCCGCACGCCCGTTCACGCTGCGTCGCGCGACGCAGAGGGGTGGCCGCCCGCCCGTCCTCCGTGGTACGCCACCCCTGGCGCAGAACACCTCCACCTCCATTCAGATTCGGATTCAGATCCGGATTTGGGAAGGTAGACGCGATGCGACGACACTACAACCACTCCCCAGAGCGACCACCTACAAACCCACTCGCCACTCGCCACTCCGCGCGCATCAAAGACCGCCGCATTACTCCCGCGCGCAAAAGACCGCCGCTCCCCTCTCCCCTGGTCCCTTCCCCCACCCTCCCCACCTCCCCCAAAAGAATCGATCCACCCGAACGAAGCAAGACTCACCAAACGCGGCCCCCGCGAGGAGCACAATCAGGATGGGCGCCCAGCGGACGCGGGTGAGGGTCCAGATGCGCCATGCGAAGAAGAGCTGGGTGGGGGTGGAGACGAGTACCTGGGTGGGTGAGAAAGGAGGGTTAGCGGGCGGGCGAGATAGGAGGGGGTGAGAAGGGGGAGGAAAAAGGAGGACAACGGGAGAAAAGGTGAGCATGGGGGAGCGTCGGCGAGGGAGATGGAAGGATTGGGATTGGGGTTGGGATTAGGAGGTGAAGAAGCAGAGCTGAAGCAGGGTAGGTGCACGTCGGCGGGTCGATGCGGGCGCGACACGACACGGCGTGCACAGAAGAAAGCAGGGAAAGAAGAGACGTACCACGCAGAGCGGCTCTGGATGGGCGTAGGTAGTTTCAGTTTCGGTTTTTGGTTTTCAATGCACGAGCGCGGGCAAGGGGCGAGTGGGCGGGTGGAGAGCAAGTCGGGGGACGATGGCAAGAACGCGACGCGAAGAGAAAAATCAAAATCAAAAGCAAAAGCAAATCAGCACATGCCCACACGGACACGGGGTCGTATAAATATAACGCAAAACGCACCCGAAACAAACACGGTCGGAAAGTAGTCCAGGACGTGGCCGTACTGCAGGATGAGCGGCTGGTACATCATCTCCATGTCGAAGCCCGTGTTCAGCGTTTCGAGGACGAAGAGGTAGGCGACCTGGGTGGAGCGTTAGTTGGTGGAGTGGGGATAGGGAGGTATAATTGGAATTGGCGTGGGTGTTAGGGTGGAGTGGCCCGCGTGCAGATCGGGGAGAAGGGGGGGATGGCAACGCAACGCAACGCAGACGCAGAGCGGACCCGTCATACACTGCGGATGGGAGACGAGCGGGCGCGGGGGATGGATGTACGGACGCGATGGGACGGAAGGGAGGGAAGACGCACAAAGTATTGCAGCCACGCGTCGTCGTCCCTACACACGACAGCAGCGCAACGTTAGCATGGACGTAGAACGGACGAACGAAGGGAAGGGAAGAAGATGAATAATAATGCGCACCTGCGGTACCGCTGGTAATACGTCAACGCCTGCGATGTAAGAATCGGTAAGCTTCTTAAATTCCTTCCGCGCCCAACAGAGACGGGCGCACCTGCCCGAGGAAGACCTAGCAAACAAGCGGGGAGTCAGTCTGGTGGTGCGGGGAAAGCGGTGAGGAGCGGGACGCACGCCGTAGAGGATGAGATTGATAAAGACACCTACATGCGGGGTCGATCAGCCTACCGTACGAAGGAAAGAACGACGAGCGGATGCACAACTTACCTATGAGCATCGGGCCGTATCTACATACGCAGGCGCATCTTAGCTCAGCATGCGCAGTAGATGGTTAATGAGACGCACGATAGCGACACGTCCGGGAGCGGCGCCATGGTGCGGCTTTTGCGCGAGGGTGTGGGCGGTGCCCTCCTCCTGCCTGCCTTCGTGCCTGCTTTCCTTCTTTCCTTCTAAATCTTGCTTTCCTTGCTAGTCCTTCGCTCCTTTCACCGCAAGAAGAAGCGTCCGTAGCGTCCCGTCCTGGTCGTCGTCGTCTTCGAGCTCAATTAATCCTCCGAATCTTCCAAATCCTAGCCACCGACTGGAGCGTACAAGGACAAGGACAAGCAAAGAAAAAGACGCAGCAAACAAGAAGAAAGACTGACAGAAAGATGATGTCCGCCTCGGCAACGAAGCCAAAATTAACCGAGCCAATCAATTAAGCGGCACCATCAGCTGACCACATGCAGCCGAGGCGGGAAAATCCAATCAGGTTGCCCGGCGCCCGCGGTTGGAAATAAAACGGCGCCGGGATTTGTCGGTGATAGCCAATACGTACGGTGCCGAGGGAGCGCGCGCGCGAACGCCACAGATGTCGACGTCGACGTGGTACCGATAAGTAAGTACTGTTCGAATTCGCCCGACGGGGCTTTCACTTACGTACGCCTCTCGCTTAGATTTAGAGTTTACATACCTCGCTGGATTCAGTCACCCTGCTGACGCGCGCAAAATGTCAAGGCGGAAAGCAGGAGAGATTGAGTATGAGCCAAAACTACGCGAACAACAGCATGGCCTCATGGTCCAGAGGTACGATACTTGCTTTGGGCTGGCTGATGTACGCAACTGCAAGTGACCTGGGTTCGATTCCCGGTGAGGCCCTCTTTTTGGTTCCATTTCGCTTTTTGATTTATTTCGGGGCATGGGTCGGGTATCTTTGCCCAAAGTTTTCTTTGTTTTGGAGTTGGGCATCTAGGACTTCCTTGTTCCCCAATCTTTTTCTGCCTCATCCAATACTCTCTGTACATGTGCAGTTTACTGTGTGTGTGTTGCTTCATTTCTGTTCTGTTCTGTTTTGTTTTGCCCCCGCTGTGTTCTAACTAACCTGAAGTTCGGACATCATCCATCTCAATCCCACTTCTAAGCACCCAACTGGTTGGCACATTTGTGCATATGGCATCTACACCATCTATCGTACTGTTTCCAGACCCTCTCTTATTCCTTATTCCTTATTTCTTGCGTGTATATACAGTATGTCCATACCTGCTCTCAGACTGCTTTACTGAAAAGCTGTTTTGGGGGGCTCAGTCTGGATCTCTGTCTGAATGAGCCATCTACAGGAGGACCTCATGCCCACCATGCTGGTTCAATACAAATATTGCATACTGGATTTTTTCCTTCAAATTGACAGAGGGTGTGATACATGACCGGTTTTACCTATTCAATAATTCAACACCTGCCAAATTTTGGCGTGATGCCCCCAAAATTTCAACATATCCCATTGAAATATTTTCTTTTTTGTCTTTTAGGCAATTTTGAGCTTGGTGTGACACTCGGGAAGTTCGAGAGAGGCCCACACGACAGGTGACCAGGACCAAATTTCGGGATCAACACAGGGGCGCATGATGTGTGACTGTGAATTTGAAGGAAAAAATCCAGTATGATGCACGGACCTCATGGCTGAAGTATATCTACTTGATTATTGAGAACTTGTGGTGAGGGAGTTTCTGGAGTGCCTAATTCAGAGTTGACTCAAGATCTGAGGGGTCTTCCTTTTGTTGAATTTTGCACTGGAGAGATGTGTATGGACATTGGATAGATACACCAGCTGAACTTGGCTATGTTATGGCTGGCACTCCCCTATCCAAACCAAATGAATACATGAATTTGAGTGTCTGGGATATGGACATATACAATCTGATAGCAGAGTTGTTGGGGCTTGAAAACTTGAAGCCTCGGCAGACAGACAGGTCTCATTTTATGAAGAAAAAAAAACAGGTTCTGTGCTGGTTTTGGTTTTGGCTTTGTTCCCCATCAACAAAACTTGGCGAAACAGGGGAGAGGGATTGAGATGGATAAAGCAGTTCATGGACATATTACAAAAGGGCCTGGGAGTAAAATCAGGAAGGGGAATTCACTCCATTACTTGTGCTCATCTATGTATTTCATTATCTGTTTTATGGTGTCCTTTTGCAAGCCTTGTGGTTATACCAGCTGATCCAGGTATTTCATTCTGAAAAATGCAACCTGTATGTTGATAAATAAATAAATAAACAACCAACTCCGAACACACAAACAATAAATAAATACACTACTGAACTGGAGGATAAATAGATACAGGACAAGGCTTCGGAAAAACAAAATCGGCAGTCATTGATAAATAAATGAGATCAAACATCAATAGCAAGAAATTGATACAAGGCCAGAAAGGGGCCGAGTTAGTCACCTATCACGCTGTGATAGAGACTGTGTGTTCTTCAGCATCCTCATCGACAGAATCTGCACCTTTAATCTGCAAGGTTTCTTCTCCTTCCCCCAACTGAATGGGTGCATGTAAAGTTTCTAGTTTGACAAGAGCTTGGTGATGGTCTTTCTCCCAGGTTGCAAGCCTGGAATCAATTTGGGCTACATCTTTGGTCTGCAATGTTCGCTCAAACAGTGGCCGAGCAGCCTCCCAGAAGGTAATTGCCTCTGAGGTACATCCACGTTTGCTTGCAAAATCTCCGAGACGTAGCATGCATTGTGCTCGGCTGTGATGCACATCCATTTGGGTAAATCCTGCCAGGGCCACTTGATAGAGATTGGCAGCTGAATTTTCATCATGGTTGGCAATAAATGTGTCTCCAAGAAGGAGAAGTGCTTTGTGAAGGTGTAATTTATCTTTTACTGTGGTGGCAGATGCCAAATAGATAATGGGCCATTTGTATTCCCACATGGTAGCGGGCCAGGCTTTGATATTGGCTAATTGTTCCAGGTACAAATTGCTAAATTCAGCATTTTTTCCCCAGGACAAGCAAAGACACTCTTGAAATTTGGCCTTTGCTGAGTCAAATTTCTCATCTCTAAGCTCTACCATAGCTTGCACGGCATCACAGAGAGTGATGTTTAGATCATTATGCCTCCTTAAGATCTCCTGGGCTACTTGCAACTTGTGGTAAATATCTTCTTTAGCCTCACTGATCATCATGTCAATTAATCCAACATTGAGGAGTGAATTTGCATAGCAAAAAGAATTCTCTTTAGCAGAAGTAGTTTCAGTGAGTTGACAGAAGAGGTGTCTCGCCTCTGTATATTCTGATTTCAAGAGATGAATTTCTGCCCGGGCCAATGTTATTTCATGAGCAAGAAAACCTCCTGACAGACCACAGATATGCAAAAGCTCTGCAGCCCTGTGGAGTTGTGCCATACTCTTTTGGTAGTCCCCGAGGTGGTAATGCAACCTGGCTCCTAGGTGATTTGCTGCACCCTCCTGAAACAAATTTCCTGCTACTTTAGATAGGTTTTGTGCTGCAGTTGCATATGTCATAGCAGTACTGTAATTGCCAGTGACCAATTTGACACGGCCAAGTTGAAGCATGGCGCTGCACTGCCATGTGCTGCTCTCACAAAGCTCTGATTTTTCTAGTGCCTTGTGAAGAAACTGACTTGCTTGTTGTGCATCCCCTTTATGGTAAAAAGAATAACACCCTGCAGCTTCATAGAATTTGGCTATCATAATGGCTATTAGATGTGAAATGCCTGCAGGAAGGAGTGGTACTCACAGCCAAGAGCAAGATCTGTTGTATGCTCAACATAACTTATGGCTTGTGCCATCATTTCCCCTGACACAACTGGCCAGTAATGTTGGGTATTGAAGATTTGAATGAGAAATCTGATTTCAAGTTGGGGATTGTCAAGTTGAGACAAGGGAGACTGAATATCATTCATCAGTGGGGAATAGCCACGTCCAGTTAATCGATAAAAATTGTTTAAGATCAAAGCACACTGGATTGTTTCTGCAAGGATTGGGGCATGGGCATGCAATCCCCATTGGAAAATGTCCTGCAAATTTGCCAGGTTCAAGGTTATTTGATGGACCACGGCTTGCAGCTGCTCTCCCTTATATTCGGGGAATAGCAGCAAAAGTGCATGAAAACACCGATGAATGGGTATTATACGGGACTGGGAAGGAGGCAAGACCTGCTGGATATATTCTCTGATAGGCACCAGTAGCATCAGTCGCTGATTGGTGTCCCTATATGCCAATGAAGTGGCCAGCAATGCAGCCTTGGAAGTGAGTATATCTGGAATGCCAAGCTTGCCTTGCACAAGTTCTGCTTCAGAAAGTCCATTTGGGAGGATTGAGAGGAGACTTAAGAGTTCCTTGCTGTCAGATGTGATTCGAGGACTTGACAGAGAAAGACTGATGGATGTATCTACACTGGATTGCCGGTCAAACCCAACAGAGAGCAGAGATGTCTTTTCTGTTTTCCAACGTGAAAGAACACTAGAGAAGCCTTCATAGTCAGCCAGATGGGCAATGAGATCAACTGCCAGTGGCATGTTATCTGTGAATCCCAGAAGTTGCTCCATTTCCTCAAGTGTGGTGGAATTGTCTGTAATCTCAATAAAAGTTTGTCTTGCAGCATCATGCGAGAGAGGTTGCAGTGGCAACAGAAATGGATGGGTCCATCCAACTTTGGCAGGCCTCTCAGCCCCTCGCATTGTGATCTAGAGAGTGTTATAAATGAGGCTTAACCAAAGAACTGTGGACATACTATTAATGCAAGGTGTTCAAGACTGGTAAGGAGGGACAAGAACTCTTCAACTCCAGCTCGAGAATGAATCGGCTCCCAAACTGTCTCAAGATTGTCCAAGATCAGAAGACAGGACATTTTTCTCGAGAAATACTGGACAACAGGCTTTGTGAGATCTTGGCCAGGTTTTAATCCAACATGCAATCCAATCAATGCAGCAAGTTCAACACTGGTGGTTGCAGCTTCAGCACTCACAAAGAATCGGTGTTCAAATTTGGAAGAGGTATCTGGATGGTGAAGCACAGCTCTTGCAAGGCTTGTCTTGCCCATGCCACCACCTCCCAGAATAGCAATCCTAGGTGGCTGTTGACTGATCAATTTAAGAATGTCATTCAGCTCCTGTTCACGACCATGGAAAATCTTGGGCTTTGAGGGGAGCATTGAAAATGAAGTTGAGCTTGAAACAAGATGTAAGGAATAACTGAATCACCAAACTGATCATTCACCTATTTTTCGATTCATTGACACCCAGATAAACCTGCTCAAGCTAAGGGAAGGTGCATAGAATGCTAATAATTTACATACCGATGACCTTTCCGACACTGTAGTTTCGGAAAGATTTTCAATCAGCTCCATCATTTCTTTGTGCATCAGGTTGGCTGTCTTTCTGAATTCCCTGATCTCATCCAATGTTTGAGTCTGTGTTTGAATCTATATAGATAATGTTAAGCCATGGCAAAACAACACAAAGGAGTCATACACCAAACATCTCTTGTGCCTGCTTCAGTCCTGCATGACAGTCTTGAAGTAATTTGTTCATTTCATGGTTGTGGAAGAAGTGCATAATCTTGTTTCCCTGCTGTTGTGCTTCAACAAATGTGTATATCTTGTGAAGTGTTCTGTTTATGGATTTTGTCAAAAAGTTCATTTGAAGAAAATTAAACATTATTTACTCAACAAATTTTCCGATGTTATCGAGCATCAATGGAGGGAGGGATCCAACAGTCTCCGATTTTATATGGAGCTTGACAACTGTATACAGGATGTGGTGGATGTTTTCCATGAGCTGAGCGCATTCATTTTTGTTTTGCTTCACGTTCTATGATAGTTGAGCAGTGACAATGCAGAGGTTCATGAAATATACCT